AAAAAAAAAAAAAAAAAAAGTTAAAACATTTTTGGTAGGTAAAAAGAGACCACCTCGAAATTTTACATTTAAATTCTACAATTGAAACCGTTCATCAAATGAGGAGCATTCTAGCCATTAAATTAAATGCATTTTTAAATATTTTAAAAACAATCTGATATTTCCCTTAACATTAAATTGAATGTTAATGGATAAGAGAAGATCATGCATAACAGTTCCATAGAACACTTTAAAATGGTTAGATATATAGTGTGTATATTTGAAAAAGCCATCTCGTGTGTCCCTTCAAAAAAAAAAATATATATATATTTGTCTAGGATTTTCTACTCACTACTCCAGAATCATGACGATCTCGGACGAGGTGTCGTAGGCTGCGAGACACTGCACCAGCTTCGGGTGACGTAGTTTATTCATCAGTTTGATTTCTTGACGCGCTGCTGTTTTCTCTCTGGAGACACGGGCCCGGTAGAATTTCCCAGCATACACCTGACCCGTATGCTTATGGGTCATCCTGTACACCTCCCCAAACTTCCCCCTGTGGAGATATAAAATGACTGTTTACAATAAATATAAATTTTAGACTATTTATGAGATGGCTGATACTCACACTCCCAGTTTTTCACGAACATGATAATGATCCCTGGCTTTGTGTGTAGTGTCAGGCACAACCTCCACATATGAGGTCACTTCCTGTTGTGGCTCACCTGAAACATTAATCTTGCTTAAGCATCACGGACTTCAAAAAGAAACACTAGCATTCTATATGCGTGTGTATTTGAAATTATATAAACAAACTACACAAACATACAATAACCATGAATATTTATATTTTTATAACCATTCTATTTTTATTTTTTTTTATATAAGGCATATACATTACTTTTAAATTATAATTCACATTATATTCTAAATGTTAGTACAAAATGTATACACATTTAAAGATTAGCATTTATACATTTTAATTATAGAATTCACATTAAAAAAAAAAATTTAAAATGAAAAAATATTTTAAATAGATATAATTAATTCTGTCTACCTGCAGTGTTCATTTTAATGCAGTCCGACTCCTCACTGGAATCACTGACTCCCGCTGCGTTACAGGCTCGTACTCTGAAGCGATACTGTCCCTGCGGGTCGAGACCAGAGCGGACCCGATACGAGGTGTTCTGACACTGGTTAGTGAGTTCAGCCCAGTCGCCAGGCTCGGTTTGGTCCAGCCTCTGAAACTCCACCATGTAGCCTATGATGGCAGAACCTCCGTCAAAACACGGCCCAGACCAGGACAGAACCAGAGATGAGCGGGTCAGCTGGGACACGAACGGACACGAGGCTGGAGGGTCTGGACGATCTGGGGAGAAATAGAAAGTGAATGAGAAACAAGGTTATTGGGGGGGGAAGAAAAAAAAAGTAATAAATATATATAAATAAATAAATTATACACACTTTTTAATTATTTGTTAATTCAAAAGATGAACACATTGATGAAAAAAATGACAAGAGAAACTATTAGATGAAAATGAGGGAAAAAAGGTTTAAAATGTACTAAATTACTAAAACAAATTTTTAATAATAAAAAAGAAAAACGCTTCAAAAATAGGATTTAAAAAAATATATATATATTTTTAATACAAAAATATGAAGCCATACAGAAAAAAAAATAAATAAAATATATATATATATATATATATATAAAATACGTGTGTGTTTAATACGACGAGCATAATTTCTGTAATTTACAAACTGAAAATACAAAAAGGCTTGTTCAAAAAATAAATAAAAAGCTCAACAGAAATAATAGAAAAGGCATGACAACCGCAAGGTAAAAAAAAAAAAAAAAATTTTAAAAACAAAAACATACATTTGAAAACTATTAAAAATAAATGCATAATTTCTAAATCTAGAATTAAAACTGAAAATGTAAAAAAAAAAAAAAAATCCAATTAAAAATTAAGCTTAATGGAAATATTAAACCGAATAAAACATGACATTTCTAAAACAAAACTGAAAATATAATTAGAAATATTAATAAACACTAAAACAGCATATAAATAATACTAAAGCAACACCAATGAGAACAAAAAGGCAAATTGATTATTGGTTGTCATGCCATCACCATAGATATAGACCGATTAAACTAATTTCAGAGCTTACCAATGACACTGAGGCTTATGGTCCGGTGAGCTGTGCCTCCTCGGTTCCGAACAAAAAGGGAATAACTTCCCGCATCTACAGGAAGAACATCAGAGAGAACCAGGGTGCTGCTACTGCTGGTGTTCGTCACACACACTCGTGGTCCCTCTACCACAACCTAATGACAAAATATCCACACTAAAATATCAGATTTTATGTTTAAGCGGCGCAACGCAACGCGTAAAAAGACAGTATAAGTCATTATAATCCGTAATTATGTCCCCACTGGATGCCTCGCTTATAATGGGTTTTCATGGTTTTGTCTCTTAGCTCCAGCCGGACAGGGCATCATCACAGTATGGTGAGGGGCGTAACATTTCCGTCACACGCTTGAGGAATTCGACCAATCATAACGCACTGGATAGCTGGCCAATCAGAGCACACCTTGCTTTTCAGGCCGATGAGCTTTGTAAAAATCGACGCGTTCAGAAAGGCGGGGCATAGAGGAGAAACAATAATGTACAGTATGTGGAAAATAATGTGGTTTTCTTTTACCTTTAACCGCATAAACATTTCATTACACCAAATAATGTTCTTTTTTAGCAACATCATATGACCCCTTTAAATACACGTTCCACTAAAGCTTCACAAACTGCTCAGACCTTTTCCGTGTCATGAATCCAGCAGAAAGCCACAGGCCCAGAGCTTCTGAAACGGCAATGCAGTCGAGCGGTTCCTCCAACACAAACCACAACCTGCTGCTGGGGATCCAAAAACTCAGCTACTGCACCTGGAGAACAGAAAGAGAGTCTACTGACACACTGATTGAAGTAGTTCAGGCTCTTGAACCACAATACAGATAACTCCACCTTTACAAGTACTTCATGTCTCTTGTAAGAATGCACTGATTGTGGCCTACTTACAGAATCCATCAGCTCCAGTATTTAACTCATTTTGAGAACCAGAATTAGTTTATCTCTAAGCGCACACACACTCACCTGAACTTCTGCTGGCTGTGTTATTGAGAGTGACGGCTGCAGTGAAACACAGATCAAATTGGTGAACTTGAACAAGGCATGTACATATAGATATGGCTCATCAGGACTCATCAATCATGTGACGTGCAATGCTTAATTAAATGTGGCATATAATTGGCTAGCAGACACTGAAGGCTTGTGTGATTGGCTACAGGCATAATGAGACCGTCTGAACTGAATTTATAGAAATCTGTTTCCAATCCCATTTAAATGTGATATAAACACAGTTTAGCCTTTAAAATAGTGCATCTAAATACACGTTCCACTAAAGCTTCACAAACTGCTCAGACCTTTTCCGTGTCATGAATCCAGCAGAAAGCCACAGGCCCAGAGCTTCTGAAACGGCAATGCAGTCGAGCGGTTCCTCCAACACAAACCACAACCTGCTGCTGGGGATCCAAAAACTCAGCTACTGCACCTGGAGAACAGAAAGAGAGACTACTGACACACTGATTGAAGTAGTTCAGGCTCTTGAACCACAATACAGATAACTCCACCTTTACAAGTACTTGTTCACTACTTACAGAATCCATCAGCTCCAGTATTTAACTCATTTTGAGAACCAGAATTAGTTTATCTCTAAGCGCACACACACTCACCTGAACTTCTGCTGGCTGTGTTATTGAGAGTGACGGCTGCAGTGAAACACAGATCAAATTGGTGAACTTGAACAAGGCATGTACATATAGATATGGCTCATCAGGACTCATCAATCATGTGACGTGCAATGCTTAATTAAATGTGGCATATAATTGGCTAGCAGACACTGAAGGCTTGTGTGATTGGCTACAGGCATAATGAGACCGTCTGAACTGAATTTATAGAAATCTGTTTCCAATCCCATTTAAATGTGATATAAACACAGTTTAGCCTTTAAAATAGTGCATCTGTATTAAAAAGGCATCAGAAGTATATAAATACTATTAATAAATCACTATTGTTCATTATCATTTTTTGTTAAGTATTAACTAGTAAAGATTTTTTTTCTATATTGTTATAATTAATCTACCAATACTAGTGAATGTGTGGCTGTAGTTTGTAAGATACATATCTGGTCTCCTCTTTTCTGTGTCTAGGGAGTTTTTAGGAGATTTTTTTTCCTTGTGTCAGAAGTTTCTGTTTGAAAATGTGTTCTTTTAATTGCACAAATATCGAAACACATCAGGTAAAATATAGTTATGGTCTCGCATTCTGTGTATGCACAAGCACATTAATCACACTGATCAAAAGCGACGGTAAAGACATTTATATTGTCACAAAACATTCCCATTTCAAATGAACTCTGTTCTTTTCAAATTTCCACATTGTTAGTAATCAGAAATGTTTCTTGAGCAGCCAATCAGCATATCAGAATGAGTTCTGAAGGATCACGTGACACTGAAGACTGGAGGAATGATGCTGAAAATTCAGCTTTGATCACAGCAATAAATTACATAGTCAAATTCTAATAATATTTCACAATATTTACTGTAGTTTTGGTTTTATTTCATTTTTTTTAACGCAGCCTTGGTGAGCAGAAGAGACTTGAACATCTTAACAAGGAAACACTTCCTAAATATCTCTTTAAAAAATATAAAGAGGATTCATCTGTGGGAATTAGTGTGTCAAGATAGAAATATCTCACCTGATTTCCCTGATTTCAGACAGCTCTCCTCTCTGTTCGTCGCTGCTGAAGACTTCAGGTCAAACCTGAATGTTGAAATGTAGGTCTTCTTCTGACTCTTTTCAATAAAGGCCATTATTACACTGTGACAAGTTCCAAACGGTCTGTCTCTTCCTCCTCTCAACTTCTCTCAGATGTGCATGTCTCCTTCCATTATTTCTCTCACTGCTTAATTCAGCAGCGTTGTCGTTCTACTTCATGTCACAGGTAACAGCAGAAGTGATCAGGTCGATCATATAAACGGTCTGAGGGGGAAAGGTATGAGCTAATCTCACATAGATGAGGTGGGCGGGGCTTCACACACAGCCTGCAAGCGAAAGCCACTCAATCACTGTCGAAATCCACAACAACAAATAAATCATAAACACAGTTTCCCTGAAATGTGCACAAACGCGTTGGTCTCACAGACAGAAAACGTTGTAGACTGACACATTTCAGCTGAAAACTACAACTATTTTCTCAGCTCGTGGGTGTGTGACATATATATATGTGACATTACAAATGTGGATGAGCCTGTCAGGCTGCTTGGGATTATCTTGGTGACTTTAGCCTGATGTAAACCTCATATTTGATCTGATTATATTTCATCTATACATTGTAGATGTAGTTTGCATTTCATCAGCATTGATCAGGAAGAAGCAGCATATGCATATGAATATATAATGCATCAATCAAAAAGAATTCATGCTCTGAAATGTCTTTAAGCATCTGTGTTGTGTGAAGTTGTGAAATTAGTCATTCATTTGAGGTCAACACAATTAACCTTCTTCACAGCTGGATATTTTGTAGGTTAAATGAACTTGTTATTATTGCTCGCAGCTATTATAACTCCAGAGTCGTATGGAATTCTATTAGGTGTAATTTAAATACCAATTTATATAAAATATTTATTCTAACATGTCTTTGGGTATATAATAATACATATGAGACCATACAGTAAGAGTATATAGAGCTGTAAAATAAATGTGGACGTCTCGGTTTGTCTATGGGAGAAACAACTGAGATGGAAAATAATCTGTGATATTGATATTTGAGTGAGCCAATATGAAATTATATACAAAGTATTTCTAAGCACATAACAACATAGAGTAATTAAAGGTGATAATAGCTGAAATATGCAGTTTTAAAGGGTGAAGATGAGACTGGTTGTAATCTGATTACACATGAACACACGTCATGGGAAAATATCACACATATGCAGATACAAAATCTACTGTACATGTTCGCAGGCATACATGCATTTTTGAGGAATGGGGGAGAAAGTAGAAATTGCAGTTGCACTTATGGGACACACCAACTTGTCCCTACAAGCCCTTAAATAAAGTGTTCTGCAAGTTTCAAGTTTTTTGGAAAAAGTCTTTGGGGCATAACCGCTTATATGCAAACATATCAAATATATCTCATGAATCCAAGACGACACTTTATGCTGTAGTTTTAGGTGGGTATATACTACACAGTATAGTACAGAATAGAGTTAAAGGTTAAATGCAGATGCATCAGATCTACTTTTCTATGTATTGTTTTTAAAACTTCTGACATGAAGGATGTTACATTTCATGTGGACTAAAGGAAGAGTACCAGACGAATCAGCAAAAAAACTTTTCTGCTGTTTTTCTTTACATGTTCTCCAATTTCAGAGCTGGGAATGACAGATTCTCTATCAGGAGATATAGCAAACAAAACCACAAAGACTATTTATTGTTATATAAATTATTATTAATGATAGAAATTTGAGTAAGTATACAATTGAAAATCATAATTTCATAATGAAGTACGAAAACAATTTTTATTTATTTTTGTTATTTTAGTATTATTTGGATACTGTTATAGTTTAACTCATTTTGATTATTTTTTTGTTGTTGTTATAATTTTTAGTTTTTCATAATTTTTTATTAGTTTTATAGGTATAATTTTATATTTCAGGTTTGGTCCCTGTTATTTTAGTAGCCTACATCATGTGAAAATAAAAGAAATGTTGCCTTGGTAACTAGCTAAGCTAAATTAAGTTTAAGTTTTTTTTATTAAAAAACTTTATTTTATATTTTATTTTTTATTTTTATTTCAACTGACATTTGGAGTGATCCTTTTATGGATAAAATGTCAAGCAACTATCAAACTATGGCCAAAATAACTCGTATAACAGTCAAATGACATTTCACTACATACTACTGCTTTATGTTACTAAATATTATGAGAATTAAAATTTGCTCTGTTTCTTCTAGGTATTTCTAGTATGACATACTCTCACAAGTAAGGCTTTTAAAACAGCTGTAAGCTGTTCTATGAAATATCAGTTTCAAAATCATTGTGATGATACACTGATTTCCAATAATAGAAATGGCTGGGAGTATCAGTGAGCTGGTACGAAATTCCACAGAAGGGCGAACTGCTTTACAGCAGAAACAAATGCACGTGTACAGATATTCACTGTAATTACCACAGTGAATTCCACGCTGCTTTATGTTACTAAATATTATGAGAATTTAAATTTGCTCTGTTTCTTCTAGGTATTTCTAGTATGACATACTCTCACAAGTAAGGCTTTTAAAACAGCTGTAAGCTGTTCTATGAAATATCAGTTTCAAAATCATTGTGATGATACACTGATTTCCAATAATAGAAATGGCTGGGAGTATCAGTGAGCTGGTACGAAATTCCACAGAAGGGCGGACTGCTTTACAGCAGAAACAAATGCACGTGTACAGATATTCACTGTAATTACCACAGTGAATTCCACTCACTTAACTGTAGGGGGCTTCAAAGTAGCAAAAATACTCAAAACTACATATCCTCGCTTCAAAGAAAAGTTCACCCAAAATGAATATTTTGTGGATTATTGTTTTTATCAGCTGCTTGGACTTTCATTCTGACGGCACCCATTCACTGCAGAGGATCCATTGGTGAGAAAGTGATGAAATGCTAAATTTCTCCAAATCTGTTCTGATGAAGAAACAAACTCATCTACATCTTGGATGACTTGAGGGCGACTAAAACTTCAGCATATTCTCATTTTGAGTGAACTATTCCTTTAAACTGTATTTTTTGCCAATACTCCTCAGCTAAAGAACAAGAGGTCAAGAAAGAACTCAAAGCACGTCATTTAAAAGTTTTATTTAATCTTTACCTGATTTTACACAAGATCTCAAAAGACCACAAATCTACAATGGTCATCTTAGAAGTAAAATGATTTCACGTAAAGACCCAGGCTGACATTTTTTTTTATTTTTCATGATGAACAGATTGGATCAACGTCCTGAGTTCTGCTCATTATCAAAGCTCAGAGCATTCAGAGATCCTCAGAAGATCTTCATTCTCTGCTTGCACTCATTGTAGAAGGAGACACATTTTTAACACCACACAATTCTAAAACATTACATGTGTCTTTATAGTTACTGGTTTCCTTATTTATACATTTTTTTTCCTGTTTTTGACCATCTTCCAAAATGGTGTGTTAAAAAAATGACAGGTTATGCTCGATGTCTCAAATGACCACGT